TGAATTTTATTTTTGTTTTATTTATTTATTTTTTAACTAAATAACCGCTGACAAAAAAATCATCATGTTGCTGCGAAAGACTATTGCATATTAATTCCAGTGGTGGAGATAGACCTATTAATATTTTCATAAAAAAAGTATAGCCGAATTGAAATTTTGCAAATGTTTTCGAAAAATATGAAAGAGCATGTAATTTTACCCAGAAAAGGCCCTCTTGTCCGAAGTCGGTAAGAAGTGGCGTTTTCAAGAAAAACCGAAAATACTGTTTAGAAGTCAAATCATAATTTTTAAACATTGTGTTACAACTAAATTATATAGTTAAAAAATTTGGTTAAAACTGTTTCTAATTAATAAAATGGGAATAAATAAAAAGATAAATAACGAAAATCATATTAAACCAAAGTAAATGTTCGAAATTTAAACCATTTTCTTCGATACATAACTGACACTAACGCTGGAGATAGAACGTCTCGTGTGAATTCAGTTATTGTCTATGATTTTTTTTTTTAATAGGCTACACACACAATTAGAAACTAATAAGCGCAAGTGTCAATATTAGAATGGCATTTCAAGTGTGATTTGACTTCTAAACAGTATTTTCGGTTTTTCTTGATTTAACTTCTAAACAGTATATTCGGTTTTTCTTGAAAACGCCACGTCCTATAGACTGCGGACAAGAGGGCCTTTTCTGGGTAAAATTGCATGCTCTTTCATATTTTTCGAAAACATTTGCAAAATTTCAAATTGGCTATATTTTTTTATAAAAATATTAATAGATACCCCTGTATCTCCACCACTGGAATTAAGATGCGATGATTTTCGGTGTCAAATTATTTGCACTCCAATACTAAGTCATTCGCCGCAACATGACGATTTTTTTTGTCAGCGGTTATTTAGTTAAAAAATAAATAAATAAAACAAAAATAAAATTCAACGCCCTGTATCTCAGAAACGAAGCGTTTTAAGACCCATATATATAGGAACTTCTAGTCTTAAAATGAGGTCT